CACTCACATTCACCCCCGGTTCAAACTACTGGAAGCATCATCCAGCTTAGCTTAGCTTAGCTTAGCTTAGCTTAGCTTAGCTTAGCTTAGCTTAGCTTAGCTTAGCTTAGCTTAGCTTAACTTACAGGCAAAGAGGCCTCCTACTCAATAAGTAATAACCTAATGCTCTGCGGCTAATCTCATCGTCTCGTTTATTATTGTACAGTCGCCCCTTACCCATACAACCTTTATTCTCTTTTCTTTTTCTTTTTCTTTTTCTTTTTCTTTTTCTTTTTTTGTCTTTTTTTTTTTTCCACCATTTCTCGATCAATTTTGCGTGTCATTCTTGCCCAGGGACCATGCTAATCGTCATTCTCTGGGTCGTTTCAATTTTAACGGAGGACCCTGATTCATACGACAGTCTAGGCTCGACTCTTTCTTCGCGACTGGCGCTGGATCTCTTGCCTCTATTCGTGTTTTAATGAAAATTGAAGTATGTACCCCTGAAAAATGGCCGCGAAATCAGATAGGCTTAGTACCAGCCTTGACTTAGGGTATCGCCGCACGGCACACGAAACGAAAACGAAACGAGTGGATCTGCCCACGAAAGGTGGCAAAATACACTCGTTAATATTTGTAGCAAACCGACGAACCTGGCCATTTTCTGCAGGAAGATGCACTCGTTTCGTTTTTCGTTTCGTGTCCCGTGCGGCGACGCCCTTAGTTTTATTGTTTCTGAAGAAAGTTACTCAAGTTAGAGTTTATTGACATTTTATTGTAGGTTCAAATCCTTTTTTTTTCTTTTTTTTTTTCTTTTTTTTTTTTGTAGGGGAGGGAGGAAGGGAGGGAGGGACAGATAGATCGGCCGCCAGATGTATACAGGCAAACACATTGACAGATGGATGGATAGATATGGCGGGAGATCGATAGGTAGATAGATCGGAACGAGGGAGAGCGGAGATAGATATAGATAGATCGGATAGATAGATGCGAAACGAGGGAGAGAGGAAGAGAGTGGGGAGAAGGAAGGAAGAAAGAAAGAAAGAAAGAAAGAAAGAAAGAGAGAGGGGAGAAGGAAGGAAGGAAGGAAGAAAGAAAGAAAGAAAGAAAGTTTCACTGACGTTCAATCTTCACCTGAGACTGCAGCCGTTGATTTGCTGCTCAAATTTCGCCGCAAAATGATTCCTTCTTCTTCTTCTTATTCTTATTCTTCTTCTTCTTATTCTTCTTTTTTTTTTCGAGAGAGAAAGCCTTGGCTGTCTACTAGAGCGGGTGATACGAGCAGCCCCCACTAGTAGTAGCCTCAAAATGATTCGTGAACTGCCCTCGGCATTTTATCCATTGTCTGAAAGTGATACGCACACTACCGTAACGCCTTTCAGGCTATATATGTCTGTAATTCAACGGCCGGTCATTACGACTGTATCTAGACGGAAACTTGCACCAATTATCGCATCCATCAGCCTGAGGACAGAGGTCACCGACACGCAAGAGACCTCCTTTGCTCGTTTTTTCTTTTTCCTTTTTTGGCAACCCGGAGCAATTCTAATTTCTCAATTTGTGCGTGTCGTGCTCGCTCAGAGGTCATGCTGAACTAATCCCTTATTCTTTTCTCCGTATCCTTCCAACTCTTAGCGGATGTTCCTTAGCGTTTTTTGTTTTTTCTCTGAAGTTTCCTCCGAATATTTTGTGCTTTCGGTTTTACCTTATTCATTTCAGGGTTATGCTAGGAGGAGGGGACAGGTTCAAGGCCTGCAACGCACAACTTGAAGGGGGTGACTGCCGGAAGACCGAAACAAACGTTTCATTGCACACGAGGAAGAGAAGGACGAGGAGGAGGAGGAGGAGGCGGAGAAGGAGGAAGGGAAAATCAGGGGAGAAGGAGAAGAAACGAGGAGGAAGACGAGGAGGAAGACGAGGAGGAAGACGAGGAGGAAGACGAGGAGGAGGAGCAGGAGGAGGAGCAGAGGAGGTGGGGCTTTCACCCTGTCGAGCGCGAGCGGACGACTGAAGAAAAACGATGAGAGGAGCAGTGACTGCAGTAAATCAAGGGACGAGGAGACGACAAGGTCGGGAAGGATGCAGACGACTTGGAGGAGGAGGAGGAGAAGGAGAAGGTAAGGAGGAGGAGGAGGAGGAGGAGGAGGAGGGTAGGGAGCCACCTCGCTGTGTGCGTTGGAGTTCTGCCCACGAGCTTCAGCGATGGTCTCAGCAGTCTCCCCAGGCGCCGAGGACTGTACGTGTGGGCGGCCATGCGCGCAACTCTTGAGCGCGCGCTCGTATAGAAGCAGTGGCTATGGAGGCAGCAGTGACGACGCCAAGGTTAGATGCTGACACCCCTAGAGGCGATGGGGAGCGCATGCAGCGATTGGGAGGAATAGGCGTAGGGATGCCCGCGGGTCATGACACGCGGCGAAAAAGTACTCAGGGCCTCTTTCGACACCACTTGAACTCAAGGGTTGACGGAAAATTCTTCGTTGTTGCATCCATGAACTAGTCTGCTATGTTCGTAGGGGAGGGGCCTGACATGCATCCGCAAATGAACCGTGGGCAGGTCCGACACGCATCCGAACAAGTTCCAGGACCAGATACATCCAGTGCGCTGTGGAGTGAAGCACGGAACACAGAATAAGAGTGCATCCGAACTCGTTTTTGGACAAGGTACCTCCACAGCGCAGTGGAGTGGAGCACATAGAGCACAATCACTACGTCATCTGTTCAATAAAAAATAAAAAAAAACAGCTGTGGAGCATGGAATTCTGGCGGGTCGATCCAGCGGCCTAGCTCAGTTGGTAAGGCACGCCAGTGGCATTCAGGAGGGGAAATAAGTGGTAGGCATATGAGTGGTTTGAAAAATGAAACAGTGCTGGGGGTACTTCGCAGTTTCTGTAGTAGATCCGGTGCGTAGGGTTCATGGATAGCACAGATTCAGTACTGAGCGAGCTCAGATCTCTGAAATATGTGCACTCTTTGTCGAGGTGGGTAGTGACTAAAAGAGTAGACTTGTTACATTGCTGCTATTTCAGGTCTTTCGAGTACAGTAACTAAGCGTAGGATGAAGTTTTTGGGGTAGAGCATGGTTGGGACATGGGGAAGGTGTAGGATAAATAGATAAAACATATAGGTAAAGACCAAGGTACTCGGGATTTGAACTATGCATCTAGTATATGGCAAACTGGAATCAGGCCAAGGTGGACATTAGAGCAGGTGACCCCTGCAACCAGGTCCCCTAGGGGACTCCTGCTGCTAAGAGACTGGGTACCATTGAGTGTTTCCCGGCTAGCAGAGGGATCCTCCGAGGAGATTGAGTTTTGAGGTGGGCATCTTCTCCAATGGTCCACCCTTTGATAGGCGTCTTGAGCCCCGAGGGTAAGGCCCCCTTCTTCCTCTCCATGGTATGTTCCCATGCTTGCCGGTGACAAGTAACTGGACTGTTGGCCCCCAGAATAGAAGGGGTGTATGTTTTTTTTTTTTTTTTTTTTGGGGGGGGGGGGGGGGGGGGGGGAGAAAAAAAAAAAAAAAAAAGCCTTGAAACATTCGTTTATTTCCCCCCTCCCCCCCATGTCATTGTCTTCAGCTTTTGTGCATGTGTTTCCACATGCACAAACACACGCATGGCATAAACTAACAGGTCAGCTCACAGTCCATTTGCCCGTTTTCCTTGGGCCCACCGCCTTCCTCCCCTGTTGCACTACTGGCCCTTCCCAGACCCCCAAAAATTGCGACCTTATACAAGCCGCATATTTGTTTTCCAGGCGGGGAAAGGTACTGCTGGTCTTTTTTTTTGTTTTGTTTTGTTTTGTTTTCAGACCTGGGTGCTCCGGTCTATTGGTGGGGAGCAGCACCTGCTGGAAAGCGGGTCCAGCGTCCCATTGTACATCCAAAGTCCTGCCAGCATTGATTGCCCTGTACCCAGGGGATTAACTGCGCAGGTTTGATGATAAGTATGTTTGAAAAACAAAGGGCCGCCTCTTCAGTCTGCACCAAGGTACTGGTGGTCTAACACGCCATCTGTCAATTCTTTCCACATCTTCTTCCACCACTTCCACATTCTTATGGACACAGGACTGGATATCCAGAGATGTCTGGTTGTCTCCCATGCCCAGTTGCATTTGTTGCAGACTGTTGAAATGTCCGTACCATGTGCTGCTAAAGCGACCGCTAAAGCTATTGCCAGCAGCGACTGGAGCTACAGTGTACTTGCCAGTTTTTGTGAAGGTAGCAGCTTGAGTTGTTTCCATAAATAAGATAACTGATGTTGGGTCATTCTAGGTAGGGCCTGTTCAGAACGTCTCTCCAGTGCCAGTGTTATAGGCCTGGTTTCTTTTTAAACCAGTGACCACCACTACCTCCGAGCCTGTTTTTGCTGACCCTGATTCTCACTGCGCACCGAGTTTTGCCAAGCCTGGGTTCCGTTTTGTTTCTTTTCTGGTACTCTCCTGAAAAGAAAAGAAAAAAAGCACTGTCAGACTTTCTAAAAACGACCCGCTCAGGGAAGGTCCCGCTTCTTAACAATGACAACGGGTCTGAAGAGGTTCTGCAAACTGACTAGTACACCTGCAACTTCAGGGGGCTGCCTATCAGGGCTTACTTTATAGCCGGCAAGGGTGTTCCGACATGGGTGGGGATTGCTGCAGCTCCAGGGAGAAACGGGAACGCCCCGGGTAGAGAATACAAGGTTTACAGCCCTGTTGAACAAATGGTTCTTTCAGTGCCGCATGTTGTTTTTCTAAGGGACGCTGGGCCCGGTTCTCAGCAGGTGTAGCTCCCCACC